CCCTAGCGCCTCAGTCACCTGGCCTGCTAGTGGATCCCCTCTCGAGGAGACTGTCCCTGTCTTCCCGAAATGCATATGAAGAAGAGATCGAGCGGTTACGACAAGAGGCTTTGTCTCAGTCAAATCATATCAGGTATATGGTTGAGCAGATGGAGCTCATGGACAGTAGATCCCCACCACCCTCTTACCGCTCCTCGCGTACGAGTGCTATTTAAGACTACTGGTTCCTCTCTGTCACTGCCACCGCCATTACCCTCGCGCGAGGTTAACCACTGATGCAGTCTTGTTGGATGGGACGTCATCATTTTTGCGAGTGTAGCGATTAGAATTGGCTACCATGTGAGATCCCGGTCCTACTGAGCCAAACAGCTTTACGGCCCCCGATGACCTTTTTTGCGTTATCCTCGCCGTTCCGCCGCGTCGTATCTCTCTCACTTCTTATTATATCGTTTTAAAACTCGAAAATATTGTTTTTCACGCATGAAGATAGTTTGCGTCGCTTTTTCAAAGGGCGAAAATGAGTGTGCTATCGTTTATCTGTTCTGTCGATCACTTGTAGAAACGATTGCACCAGTTAAGGGGTTTGACACAAGGTCTAGCTACCCCAGCTTCAGAGCCAAAGATACTCTGAGGAATGGTTTGAATGACTGTACGATGAGAGTAAAATTTGGTGCGTAAATGACTACATGCATTTGGGGATTCCCTTCCAGTACGACAGAGGTGAACAACGATGCATTCATTGCGTTCCAGCCGAAGGATCTTGCCAGAACAGTAACAGTGGCAGCTGCGATGACACGACCTAGAATGAATTAACTCTCAAAGCACAGTAAAGTCGTTATCCATGCTCATCCCAGCCGATCCTCGAAATCATCCTGGGAAAAGATGGACCGATTCTTGGTCTGCTTCACCCGATCGTCTTTTAGCATTCTAATTTCAAAGTCAGTGGTAGCACCATCGAACGCCAATGCGAGCGCACCTAGCATCCACCCTAGCATCATCACCCTCCACACCGACGATAGCTTGCGGCGTCTTTGCTTCAATGACCTGAACGTAATCCAGCCAATCCGTCCGTATACATGGAATACAAACACACATAATGGTTATCACAATGCGGACAATACTCGTCGCTCTCCTCGTAATTCATCATATCCTTACGGAAAGCCTTCTTGCACTTTTTGCACATGAACGCCATCTCGGCCGTCCGCGCCAGTGGATGCGTTTCGGACTCGGCGTGACACTCGGCACAATCAAACCATTTCTTGCAGCAGGGCGCTCGGATAGAAACTTGAGCGTTTAGGATGTGTTTGCTGGTGACGACAGGTGTAAGACAAGAGGTGCGCGTTGGACGAAGGACACTAACCACATCGTTAAAAGATAAGCAACGTGCGAACGTGGTGGTCACTGGACAAGTCGTGAAAAGGTAATGTTCAGAATGATCTACTAAAATTTCGCAGGTTTGTTCTTATTATTTTTATGATGTATGTAAATTATGCATAGATATGGGAGTGGGGAACAAGAGACGTGTATCATTACAATGCATGCCTGTAAGATCGTACAAATAATTTATTATGCATTTTACTCTTGGTAAGGGTAAGCCAACTTGGGGCTATCCTTGCGCCGCCACAACTTCTTCCTGTTGAGATGGCTTAGAAATGGCCCAAGAGATATGTGCGCGGTACGAACTTTTTCTTAGTAGGGATATGCTCGGCAAATACTTCAACACAATACTTTGCTTTGAATTCACGAATGAATCGAGGATCCCTGAGTAGCGTTAGACTTGAGTATACTTAATCATGAAAAAAGCCCACCAAAGTTCACTAGCAATTCCTAGGTCCTTGCAGCAGCGCATCAGGGCATTGCTCTTACACGCTTCGGTTGCTGTGGGTACTCCATTGACGTCAAAGTACTCCTGCTCGCCTCTAGCGATGGCGACGAGCCTGAATGAAGACGTTGAGAAAAAGATCTTCTAGAAGACGCGTATACGCACCGTCCTTGACACACAAGAGCGTATTCCCGGCTGACAATTCTGGCACTGACATTAGTTTCACCACGAGGCGCCAAACCCCATGCACCAGGACCGAACGCTCTGTTCAGAATGCGACGGTATTTGATTTCAGGAAGGTAAATAAGGCCATCTGTTCGAACAGGAATGAGAAGGCGCGCAACAAAAACAAAGTTAGCTCACCTGGCTTGCATTCAACGTCGAGAGGATCGACAGGCGCAAGAAGGATGTCGGCAGCCTCTTTAGGGAAAGCCTGCTGCGAAAGACCATAGTAACTCTTGGACCAATCAGTGTGGCCTTCCCTCTCGCCACCAAAAGGCACTGGGGCGTCGTTTGGCTGTGGGATCTCTGCTTCCGCATCTTCACTCGCAGTCGCAAAACCAGCAAACCTGGGAATTCGCAGCGCCGTCTTTGACATGGCAGGCGACGACCTGACACCCAGTCCCCGAAGCGAACGTGACTGGTTAGTCCAAACGCTCCGTACGAGGCTGGCCATTACAGTACTATTCAGAAAATATGAAACCAAGGTATTGCGATTTTCTGACCCTAACCTTATTTTGCGCGTGACTCCGTCGCGAAATGCTGCGGCCCGAACGTCAACAAATAGACGCCCACAAAGGCAGCGCTTCTCGAGACAAATTTCAACTTATCAAATCCGCACTCAACCTCCGCCACCCGTTTTACGACTACATGCACCATGGATAATCAGTTGTCGAACATACGAACCCTTATACAAGACTCTCTGGATGATGCAAGTGCTTACTTTCTGTATCAATGACAGTCCGCTGACTTCGAGTTTGACAGATTTTGTCCTCTCGTACGGCCTATACGAGTAAAACGACTGCCCTGCAACGCCTGGAGTGTCAACTGTCGATCTGTGTTCAAAAGGAATCAGAAATTCTCGAATTTTTCGTGGCTCTACAGCACACGTTTGAATGTAATGGTGGGTATTATGTTGGTCTGCTTCCTTCTTAGTTGACCTGCATACAGTTCCACTCAGATTAATGCCCTGGATAGCAGAAGTTTCAGCTAAACTTCAAACCCTCTTAAATAGGGGAACACCTGACGGTTCGGGATTTCTATCATCTTACCCACTTCGTTATTGATGACAAGAACAGACAATGATAGCTCCCAAATATCACAACTCTTAGATCAACTCTCACTTTCCTTGTCTCTTATTCAAGGCATTGTCATGTTGCACCCTGCCAGCAAAACGTACCTTGGTCGGAAATACCCCGTAGAGGTACGTCGTCGCGGAAATGTTTGATGACAATAAAATCTAATATGCATTGAAAGATACTTACTGATCTACTCTTGACTTCACGCCATGCACCTTGTCCGTCTGATCCAAACCTGTCTGGCTCACTTTTCAAAACCCGAGAATCACAGACTCCACTGTCATCCATTGTCATGGATGCCCTCCTTTGCATACTAGTCGACTCTCCTGCCGCTCTGCGCTCGTTCGAAGAGTGCAATGGAGTACAGGCTATTGTCAAAATTCTCAAACGCGCTGGAACTCCTCGTGAAGTTAGGTATGTCATATACGCGTGGGTGGCTGCAAATATTTAACATCTGAAAATTAGAATGAAGTGCTTGGAATTCTTGTACTTCTACCTGCTCGACGAGAGTCCCTCTGCGGAGACTGGCGCTTTGAAGCATCCGTCCTCAGCGCCGCTCATCACCACTGCTCCGGCGACACCTGTTGCTACGACGTCCTTGCGAGCAAAAAAACCATACCTCAACGTGACGCCAGTGCGTCCGATATCACGTTATGGCTCTTCCACTTACTCCTTATCTGGTTCTGGGAGCACAGTATCTACCTCTCAATCTGGGTTCACAACGGGTTCTGGAAGCACAACTCTCTCTGCGAGCTCCAGCACCTTCTGTTCAGGTCAAACGTCCCGATCAACGTCGGCCAGCTCTACTAAATCCTTTTCATCAACGTCATCTGTGGCCTCAGCCTCGACTGCTGCATCTTCTATACAGTCATCGCCAACAAAGGCGACGGCGGATCCTTTGCCTATACTAAAAACGCCGGCCAACGTTCCTTCACCAGTGTTCAGGCCGAATTCTCTACACATGTTGCAGAGGGACCTCGATTTTGTACCTGAGAGTCCGCAGAGGTCCACAGCGAGCTCTGTTGCAAACACAAGCCTTTTGCGAACTCATCCCAGGAAAAGTGTGTCTCAAACAAGTACAAGGTCCCGATTGGGATCGGCCTTCGTCCCTGACGCGAGTCCTAATACGATGGGGGTCGCAGAAAAGGTTCGGACGACCGAAGAAAAGAAGGAAATCCTTGGTACGATGCTGGGGAATGTCGATGCGTTAGTTGAAGGTGTTCGGAAGGCAGGCGTCTGGGGACTGGGTTAGATGTCGTTTAGATATACGTACCGAATTTGCGATACCCCTTCACCCGCAATAACTGGACAGGAAAACACTGTAGAGAGAAGTGAGGGCATTAACGCGATTATAAACACACTGTATGATTCCGCCGTGCACCCAGCAACCACAGTTGTGCTACTCTTTTCCTGTAACAACTTTCGCAATCGCTGCATCCATGAGCCCTTTCTCTTCTTCCTCTGTCAGATGCCCGGCATTCACCCTCGCCAGTGACGTCGCGCGCGACTTGACTTCGTCATCGAGGTCTTCGAACTCGTCCTGTTTCACAGCGTATATTGAATATGAATAGACTCCCACAGCGAATGCACCCAAGACAAAGCCCGTCAGAGCGTTTGGTATGCGAAAGGGTTGGCGCGCGCGTTTCAGCCCGGGAGACATAGCCTGTGCCTTTACGTTGAGCATTTGCGATACAAATTGGGAGGTAGAACGTACCCCAGCTTTGGGTCTGTAGGATTTGGCGACTTTGCGCGGGTCAACGTATCTTTTTGACCAGCCTTCCATAGCTGAAGGTGGTAGCGGAGGAAAGAACTCGTGGACAAATACTAAAAATATGAGACTTTGGAGGGAATATAAAACTGACACCACGCCGGAACAATATGACTCCATAGCTAAGTGGTTATAGCATGAGATTGCAGCTTTCTAGCTTTATCTCGGGGTCGCGTGTTCGAGTCACGCTGGGGTCTTCTTTTGGGCACGTATTTACTGTGGTTAGGGCTCTGGACCTTATGGTCCCTGATGCCAGATCATGCCACTGCCGATCATGTACATTGCTCATTGTACCACCCTGAAGGGAGCAAGAGCAGCCGCTGGTCCATTCAACTGTTCAATCATTCAATCCTTTAATACCACCTGCTCATATTTTTGGGGGGGTTTTGATATAAATTTTTGTCACTGCTTCTTACTTGTCGGATGTCTGAATTCACTCATGTTCTGCCTTCCCGGTCGCACATACATTTAAGGTGGTTTGGAAAATCTTGAAAAATGTGATCAGTAACTGAGTTTGGTACCACACTAATGATGGGATTCGTGGCGACATCACCTGTCCAGGCCGTCACATATACCCATAATGGACTTATTGGTGCTTAACTATACCAGTAAGTAGATTGAGTCGATAAATGAATGCATTCTACCTGACTAACCGACTCTTGTTTCGAAGACACGTAACGTACCAGAAACTCAAAAAAAGAGATTGGACATCAGCCTATCTTCGAGCGATCCATAATATTCTATTATATTCAGTGCTGTCATGAATGACTAGGCTTGACTGTAACAGAACACCCAGCACGACGAAGGCAATGGGCTCGATTTGGGGCCTGATGGGAGTACCTACTTAGTCAGAAATGATGCTAGTGGCAAAACGAAATGCTTGGCTGTTGTTGGGACATCAACGACAGCCGCCTAGCCGCCTAGGGAGGAGCGATAATGGTAGTGGTGGCCTGTCAGTATAGAGCTGCGAAAAACCCGAGCCCGTACACAAAGTCAGCCGGCCCGGGAAGCCGCCGAAGCCTTTCACGAACCCTGCCATTACTTATCATACAAGACGCGAGTCCATGCATCATCATGCAACTAGACAATAGTCAGATGGAGATTGTCAAACACTGCAGCTGGCGGCTTATCTGTGGTCATCAGATCTGCTTTTGGTTGAAACTTGTTCAACAACTCCAGTACCACATAAACGATGTTGAACATTGGGCGGAAGTTCAATTGCAAGTGCTCATTGTCGGCTTCAAGTGTCTCCCTTGTCCAATCAGTCCGTGGCAAGCATCTGTGCCCCTCTTGTTGTGCAACATGCCCCACGTCGCCTTGAAATAGGAGACACTGTCACGATATATATTACAGTAATGACAGTCTGATATGCTGTAACCCTTCTTCACGCACTCACTTTTTTCACCGACACATGTCTCCACCCTAAGCAGCCAGTTTTGTATGTCCTCGTCTGCCGACCTTGTCTAGGGAACACATCCTTACCGTTTTCTTTGATAGCCCGTTCTACCATCGTTGCATCTATCGACAAAGGTATTCCAGAGGGGCCGTTAGAAATTTTCGACTGTGATGGGACTACTAAGGAATTTGGTACACGCAGTCCAGCTTCTGCAGGCCATCGCGAGGGCATGCTTCTCATCAAGGACGAAACCTTTTGGGTTCGAGCTTATCTGTCGTATGATGTTGGATGTTAGAGTTCCCTTTCCTTCGTATACTTCGCGCACTCAATTGTATAATAGTTTCTGAGGCATACATGAATAACGAAGTAAGCTCACCTTCTACGAAGAAATTCTTCAGTATAAATCTGCGCGTCTCTCGTCAATAAAGTGGTTGACCTCCGAGCGCTAGATCTATATCGATAATTTCCCACAGATGAGCGGGGTATGGTCCTCGACCTACGAAATCAAATCTATCATAGACCGCATCATCATATATCGCTTCTTGAGCCATAGCCTGAGTTCAATCAATTCTCAATGTACGCTTTTTTTGAGCTGTATCAAATCCGCACTGGCTTAATCCTTTTGTCCAGCTTGCGGCCTACGATGCGGCAAATGACTTATACAAAGCAATTTTATGTGTTTTTCTGTAGGATATTTATGAAACCGAAACCAGACCTTCCTCAGTCAAGAAATATAATATTCCCATCCTATCTGGAGCGACGAAGAAGGTGGCGTTCAAGGCGATCTGACTGCATGAAGATCTCGAGGCGATCTTGAACGTGCTCAAGGACGTAAAATTGAATATATACTGAAGAAAGCTAGATTACTTCCCGGACATTGTGTGTTGGAGATAGGGAGCGGGTGGGCAGCCTCGCCATTGCAGTGCGAACGACTTCTTAATCTGTCACTGGACAGTGCGTATTGACTTTCTTTCTACCTCTGAAGGCAGCTGAGAAGGGATGTACAGTCGATTTTTGATGTCATCGGTAGAACAAAAGGTCCAGGCGGAGGGGCGAGTCAAGGAAGCGGGATTTGAGTCTCAAATTCGAATTCATTTGATGGATTACAGAAGAATGCATCCAAGTTTCGAAAAGGCCTTTGACGCCTGTGTCTCCCTGGAGATGTCGAGGTGAACCGTCTATTACAATCTGTGGACCAGATGTTCACACTTGTTCCTACAGGCCGCCGGAGTCCCATACATGTGAACCTTCATCAGAACCATTGATTGGGCGCTGAAATATGGCAACGCTGCTGTCGTTCTTTCTGCGACATGCTACCCAGACGCTATGTTTAACTCATGCCAGTACCGAGTTTCTTTCTAGTATGCATCCTTTGCTCATCGGCTTCATCAGGGGTGATGATTTCATCCGGAAATATCATTGACCATATGCCATATCGCTCAGTGCTACTTGGCTGACAATAATTCCAGACGGCTGCCTCTGGAAAGTGTTGAGGATTATGGACCACGTGCGTCTTCGGTAGCCCGTGCAACTGATTTCCACCTTAATATCTATCACAAATTATTGCGGCGTCTGCGTGAATGGGCGAGGTTGGATCCCACCTCTCTTGCGCTCTTTGTTGAGGTTCTCACCTTTCAATCAATAGGTGCCCCGAAGAGAATCGGACACAAAAACTTATATCGTCTCTACAGGAGCGGTGCCCAGAATTTTTGAATGCAAATGCTCAAGCAAAGATGGCTCTATGTGTTTGATTACATGGAAGTGGTCTACGAGTCGCGTGTCTGGCTGACACTCCGGTCAGTCGACACCATCATACACATCTAAATTTGTTGGGATTTGCAACTTCAAGCTTGTGCCGAAAGATTCCGGAACCTTCGGTACCATCAATTTGGCACGATACTAGGATATAATTAGGTACTTTAGTAGAACATTCTAGAAGTATTTAAGGAGCTCGTCTCAAGCTCTCGTAGCCAACAATTCAGTATTCTCTACTCAGCAAGCCTCCCACTGCAATAGTTACAACAGAATTTCTCTTAGGGATACCCTGCTATCAAATGTACTTAATTTCCCTTCACCCCTCCCTCCTCCCGTATCTCAGCACTTGAGAATTCATGGATACTGTATTTCGGACTTTGAAGGAGGGTGTCGTGATAGGGCACAACGTGCAGAAAAACCTTGGGTACAACATACAAAAATACCTCAAGTAACGTCGGTGGTATTCCCATCTGCATTTAGATCCATGAAATACTGTGAAGAAACGCATGTTGAAATATATGCTGCATTTAGCTGGGTATTTACAAGCCGGTCTTTGTCTCAAAAACTTGTCTAAAAACAGGCATGTCTTTTGCGCAGGTCTTTTCATCCTAAATTACGCACCACCCACAGCAGTGAATGGAACAAAGATGTGTGAACGCTTCTTGAGAATCCATATCTCACCAGCTTAACGGACGGGAACTACTACAGGAGCGTGCGATATAAAAGCTAAGGTTGGGCAACGCACTTCGAGTCGCACTTGGGTTTGGGACGAAGAAAGCGAGTCGCCATTCGGTTGTGCATTGTTGCAGTGAAAAATATGGAATCCAGGTAAACGGCTAGTCCCGTTCCGTGGTCGAGCATCCAATAAGCAGTCTAGTCAATAGTCAAACCTTTACTATCAAGTCTAGTAGAAAGCTTCTACAATTTCACATACACAACATCTAAGGAGTAGCACGTCCAGGCCACCTACGATACGTCGTGAGCTTTGCATACCACAAACGACCGGGAAGCACAAACCTTGGGTACAAGGAACACTCTCTCACTGTAAACCGGTTCGCGAGCCACGCAAGGAATCGCTAAAACACAACATTAATATAGGGTGTTGGATGAAAGACGTAGATCAAACATACCTCGACTCCCAATCCATACCCACCATGCTCACAAGTCCCATACTTGCGCTGATCAGTGAACCAGTAATATGGCGCTGGATCAATCCCCTCGCGCTTATATGCAGCCAGCAACTCCTCCATATCAGAAATCCTCATCGAACCACCCACGATCTCACCGACGTTCGGCATCAGCAAATCACAGCTTTCCGTGTACACAGTTTTCGCACCCTGCTCGGCTGGTAGCTTCTTCATATAGAACGCTTTGAGCTCAGCTGGAAACGAGTGCAAGAATACTGGCGTCCCAATGATGTCCGTCATCTGCCTCTCCGCAGCCTCCGCAATATCATCTCCAACAACATGGTCCACCATCTTTGCCTGGCCCGACTCATCGAGAATTACATTCCCCCCTGTATCTTCGGCTGCATGCTTGATTCCATGTTCGACAAGCCATGCGATAGCATCGAAGTACGACATGCGTTTGAACGGCCGTTCCGGAGCTTTGAATCCAGGGTTGAGTTGCTGAATGAGGCCCGCTGAGACGGGGTTGGCCAAGAGCTGATCAACCGTTTCACAGATGATTGTCTCGATGTGATCCATGAGCTCTTCAAAGTTGATGAATGCGAGTTCAGCCTCAAGATGGGTGTACTCGCTCAGATGCCTTCTTGTGTGACTGTTCTCAGCTCTGAAACTTTCTTGGACGCAGAATACGTCTCCGAGACTGGGAAGGCATGTCTCGAGATACAGTTGAGAACTTTGTGTGAGGTAGGCGGGCTGACCATAGTAGTTTAAACTAAAGAGGGTGGCACCGCCCTCAACTTGGGTTTGCACAAGACATGGCGGGGTTACTTCGAGTAGGTGATGGTTGACCAGAGAATCGCGGAAGGCGCTGAGTAAGTACGCACGGAGCCGAAGAACAGATGAGGCGGTCTCTCCTCGA